GGCTAACAGGCTAAGCTGAAGTTCTTCTTCCATAAAGCAGCTCTGTTGTCCTCCATCCATGTTTTCAGTTGTAGACTGAATCATTTCTACCTTCTCCTCTCTGTCAACGCTCTCTGGTTTCATGTAAAAGAGCCAATCATCAGAAATTGTCCAAGATTAACCTTCAGGGTGGATATAGCTCGTTAGCAGCCTCGCACCGAGGACCTATCCATGTCATTATTTACCCAGAATGCTTTGCGTGTAAATAAAATGGCTCTGTCCACGTAATATATTTTTAAACTTTTAGTTTAAAAATTATAAAACTAAACAGCCTACAGTATATTTAGTCTTTATTTTACAGTTAAAATATATGTTTATCAAATAAAGTCTAATGTTACAACTAATCATGGCTCCCTTTAAAACAGTTTTATTTTCTGTGTTGCTACAACAAATTCTGAGTTTATACAGACTAAAAAAGGGAAAATAGCATCTGTTTTACACGTCTCCTTGCCAACATATTAAAAAGAAATGAACTGCCCTGAGCAATGAGGTATACTGAGCAAACTAATGATGCTTGTGCACACATTCATACATGTCACATGGTTACCTTGTAGAGACCTTGTAAAGATCATCAAGATCTATTTGATCTATCTTTGTATGAAGTGCGCACAGTAATTACTGTATTTTTACCAGTATAGAGTTGTGAATTTAATGCTGTGAAACTGAAGAACTAAAGAGTTACAAATACACCTCTTTAAATCAAACCACTTGAAGCTTTTCCAATACTTGTTCTGCCTGCGGCCAAAGGCAATCATGCTTTTGCCCATGTCTGTCTGTGTTGTCTGTAGCATTAACATTGGATTTTAATAAAACTTACAGAGAGAAATCACTTCATGCACATTTAAAAAAAAACACCATTCAAAATACTTACCATAGCAAATTGATTTAAGAAAACAAAATATGGCTATAAATCTGCCAATTTTACAGACAGTGATAAGCWTACAGATTATTTGTTTTATTCTACCTTCAGCATATGCCAGCATGWTGACATAAGCTGTCTAAAATGTAATGATAGAAGCATAAAAAGTTTTTTTTACATTGTTGTGTCACAATTAACAGCCTTTAGTTAAAACTGGTTTTACCAGACGAAACAATCATCAAATAATTTGCATTTTTCATCTCGCTCACGTAGTCTGAACAGATGACTCAACTAAAACACGTTCGGCCAACTCCTCACCTTGCAGCAGGCCCATGAGGAAGCGAGCCACCGTCATGGAGACTATGGGCTGGGAGCAGAGGTGGGCCAGGACCGGGGTGAAGGCTGTCATTGACCCCCAGGCAGCTGCAGACAGCAGGAGGACCTTCTCACCTCCCACACTAGAGAAACACAGAGATAGCGAGGGACAAGCAGGCAGACTTGAAACACGAATAACTCGACGTGCTGCATTTTCTTGTGGTGAACACATGACGTTTTTATTTTTCCAGGCAAACAAGTAATTAAATAAATAGACATGTCTTGACCTAGATTTTATGATGCATACACTGTATTTATGTTTAACATGTTACTGCGAGTTTGCATGAGAGCTCGCTCCTAAAACGGGTGTTAAACTTCAAGGGAACTTGTTAAGATTAAATAAAAAGGAGAAACAACTACTTCATAAAGTTTTAAGGTCCCAAATATGTGGAGCAATATGATGTTTAGGTAACATCTCTACATTGAGTAACTCTTGACACTGAAGACAGTTAATCTCTTAAATCACGCTGTTTGCTCATAGTCGGGATGATAAGACAAAGAAAACCTTCAGCTTTTCACAGCCTTATCTCTCCAGATTAAGCAAACACTGCTGTGCTCGTCTGCGTCACAGCCACAGGGTGGCTCCGTCGCTGACGTTTCTGTGTAAATAACACGCTGCGCTAACGGCCAGCAGGACGCTCACGCCGGTCTTTTCCAAATCCACCCAAAGGGGACGTCCCGTGGCTCACCGGTCACTGACGTAGCCTCCGAACACCTGGGTGAAGCAGTATCCCCAGAAGAAGCTGCCCAGCACCATGCCAGACTCCCTCTTGCTCCAGTTGAACTTCTCCGCCATGCTGATGGCACAGATGGGCATCGCCACACGGGCGCAGTACAGGAGGCATGTCCCGAGCAACAGCACCACCGTCCATAGCCTTGCCACGGGTCTGCACAAAATGGAGAAAATTTATATATATAAAAAGGTGTGTTTTGGTGGAAAGCACCCTCTCCTAACAAAAGCAAGCAAGACTGGACTTAATGTAAAAAAATAAATAAATAAAAAAACTCATGGATCCTATAATCATTTTAAACAWCTAGACTTAACCAAACATTATTTTTTCCAGTGAGGCTATGTTTTTAAAGTGCACACCACTTTACTAACGCCTGGTCAAAACGTGTGTTGAGACAAAACGTGACTGAGTGTATTTGGACATCTATATGTGGTGAAGACAACTTGCTGAAGTTCAAACTGAGTGTCAGAACGGAGGAGAAAAAAGGGAACTTTGAATGTGTTACGGTTGATGGTGCCAGATAGACAGGTCTGAGCATTAAAAAAGTATTCATTGGAGATTTTTTATACACAACCACCTCTGGAGTTTTCAAAGACTCATCAAACGTTCTTCCAATCTCTTACTGCCCAATTGTAGTGGAACTGTGTAGCTGACAGCAGCGTTATCTCCGTGTGGTTTTCGGCCCCTGTAGCCCACCTGTTTCAAGGTTCAATGATGTGCGATCAGAGATGGTATGTAGCACATGTTGGTCGTCACCAGTGGTTGTTTTGAGCTGCTGTTGTCTTACCATCATCTCAAAAACCCAGTCAGCCCATTCTCCTCTGACATTATTAAAGCATTTCTGTCAAAACAATTGCTGCACATTTTCTCTGGACATTAGAGATGGTTGTGGTTAAAAATCCCAGAAGATCAGCAGCTTCTGAAATTCTCTGAGCAGGCTGTCTGGTACCAACCATACCATGTTCAGAGTCCCATAAATTCCCATTTCTGCCCCTCATTCTGATAGTTTGAACTTTAGCAAGTCGTTTACACCAATACACATTTAGTTACTGCCTTGTGATTGGCTGATTAGCCATTTATGTTAACAAGCAAGTACCCAGGTGGACCTAATGAATGATAAAATGGTAAATGGGTGGCTGTAGTAGAGTGGTTAAGGGAGTTGTCCTGTTATCATAAAGTCGCTGGTTTGATCCCCCGTACCAGCCGTCTCAGTCGTTGTGTCCTTGGGCAAGACACTTCACCCACCTTGCCTACTGATGGTGGTCAGAGGACGCCGGTGGCGCCGATGCATGGCAGCCCCACCTGTCAGTCTGCCCCAGGGCAGCTGTGGCTACAATGTAGCTTACCACCATCAGCGTGTGAATGTCTGTAGTGTAAAGTGCTTTGGGGTCTGGAGGGACTTGATAAAGCATTTTATAAGTTCAGACCATTTACCAAATCTTTTATGAGAACAACCCATATACTCAGCTCTATTGCTCATCCCACAACTGCATGTTCCTTACTAATGTGGCACCGTTTGATGGGAAAATTAACAGGCTTTCCAATGGACAACAAAGAAATAATGTCATAAAAGCAAAACAAATCCTAACTTTTTAGGCTAAGTATATTGTAATTTAAAGTAAAACGCAACTTATCAGCTGGACTTTCTTGCACAAAATATATGTAACGTGTAGTAAATCATCTACTTTCAGAACACATATATAAACAGAATAATTAAAACCAAAACCTACAAGTATTTGCACCATTATATTATATTATATTATATTATATGTTATATGTATGTATGCATGTATGTATGCATGCATGTATTAAAAATTAAAAGCACTGTTTGACATTTTCTTTAAACACTCAACTTAGTAAATTTAAAAAAATGAAAAGAAGGAACTAAGGGTTTTCAATAGCCAGTTGTTTTCTGTTGAATATTAAAAGCGAAGCTTACAAACAAAAAGGGGTAGAGTACAGGGGGAAGTGTAAACAAATTGTGCAATATTAATTAAAACATGTTATTTTGGGCTATTTCCTATAAAAATAGCTGGCTCAACTTTTGTTTATATGCATAAATGTATCACCCCACTACTTAGATAATAAATGTACAGCCTTGTTAGTAATAGCTATAGAAAAAGAGCTGCTTTAAAAGCCACTGAACCAGCAGGCAGAGTTACTATGAAGTGACGTGGACCAGAGCTCACAGCTGAGCTGATGGAGTTGAAACACGTTACCTGGACCAGTGCGTGTGGCTTTCAGGCCACTTCTTCTGACAGCCTGGGACTCCGGTCTTGTCGGGCGGGTGGTTCTCCTTGTGACAGACCAAATCCGGACCGCAGTTCTTGGCATATTTTTGAATAACTGCCATTCAAGGTGAGGTGACGGTAGAGTCTGTACAGCTCCCGCTAAGTACGACTTCCTCTTTCTCTCTCTTTCTTTTTGGTCTGTTGGCGAGGGGATAAAGTCAGCGTTTAAAGGCTGGAAAGACTCAACGAAGGCGCAGGATGTCGATATTCTCACTGAAGTCCGTGGAGGAGGGAGAGTCTCTGTTGTTCCTGATGCCCTGAGAGAAACAATCCACGTGTCAGTTTTTCTACCCAGCCTCCTCCTCCTCCTCCTCCTCCAAAACATAGCAGGCAGTTTTTCTTCTGGTCGGTAGGGGGCGTTTAATCAGGAAGTGATAGCTTCAGCTGCATTTTTAGCCAAAGTGTGTGTGTTTCCTGGCTGCTGTAGGGCCTGCCGCCTGTCCCAACATGACTGTGCAATAAAAATATAAAGGAGTAAAGTGGTGTAATGATGTCTGTCAGTCTGTCTTGTCCGGAGAAGAGCAGCTGATGTGGCAGGTTTTTTTTTTTTTTTTTGTCCAGAGGGCAAAAATATGCGCAGAGCCAGGTGAGGCTCATCTGCCTCAGGCTGGAGAACTCCAACCAAACTGTCATTTTCTTCAATATTCTCTAAAAGTCACGAGTCATGCCTTATCTGACATGATGGTAATCTTTTAAAATAGCCTTGACTGATACTGTTTTAAGCTTTCCAAGCTTTTCTTAGAATTTTGGCTTCTTTTTCAATCATTTTTATTAAAGTATACCAATCAGGCACCACCAAAGGGTGGGTCATGGGGGGCAATAAGATCTTTTTAAATAGTTCCATGACATGGCCACAAAGAATACAAATCTTTTGAACAACTCTTTAAAATGAACCATGAGAACTAAGTTGCAGGCAGATGGAGGACTGTTCTTTTCCCTCCCAGATGCAGATACACAGGTTCATTCTTTGTTTTCACACAGAGATGAAGAAAAATAAAGTGGAGTAGAGATGGGATATGCGACTCTTTGACATAAATCTTTTTTGTAATTTATGATCCTACCAATTTATTCAAGGTACCCATGATGTAAAACTTTTTCTCATGTCATTGAGTCAAAGCATTAGAAGTGACGAAGTAGTCCAATTAGAAAATGCATTCAATTGTATTTTTCAATGTGGTTTTTTTTTATAATTTTGATAAGTGAATCTTAGTTTTAACTCATTTTCTGTGGATAAGTTTATAGCAGAGTTCCTATGTTTGGTGCCTTTTGAACACAACTACACTTGACATACTCTATGAATAAATGTAGACACAGCTGATGAATAAAATTATTTTTACCCTCTTTGAAGCATAGATCCTCAATCTGGTTCTGTCAACACAACCATGGATCTTATTGACCAAACATAATCAACTTCTGTCCTGGCAAAAGTCTTTAGATTAACCTGCTTTCATTAAACAGCACTGTCTTGAGATTTAATAAAGGGTTTATGTAATTTTAGTTGTTTTGTAACATGTAGATTTGTCTAAAGGCCCTATGGTCACCTTATCACATTTTATTTATGTGGGCTTACATGGAAGCTAAAATAAAAGCCCTAAAATGAATTGTTTACCAACTTCAAAAGTACATCCACAAAATTTAACAGAATTTTAGTGAAGGTGTAACATATCATCTTAAGAATACACAGTAGGGTTGGGCATAATCTTATCGTGTGCAATTAATCGTCAGAAAAACATTAATCAATTACTTTTTGGCACTTGATGCTTAATACGATTAATGCCACCAGGCAGACTGACTGGAGATTACTCCGGTCATTCTGCTCGGTGTTCCTCTCTGCTTCAAACATGATGAATGTTTTTTTTTTAAAAGTTCTGTAATTTATTTATCTATCGACACAATTTAAAATATGATGTATAGCCTGAAATCTGCAATTTTGACACAATTTGGAACAATTTTTTACAAAGAGCAAATCTTTCCAACTAAATTGGTCATGTGACTAGGACATAAGGGTGTCCAGGGACTCCAGGGGATTAACCGTCAAATTAATCGTTATCGAATAAATACCACAATTAATCGTGATTAATTTTTTTGCCAATATTGCTCAACCCTAATACACAGGCTTCCTGCTTTCATTTAACAGGAGATAGTAAAAATAGATTCTTATAGCTAACTTCACACTTTTTAAAGGCCCTATAACATTTTAGACAACTTACGAATTTTGTTTTATGACTAACAAACTCTTATGTTATAAATTTGATATAATTGTAGCATTGCAGTATGTATAGGTCCAAAAGAGGCTTCCATTTGATTTTTGTAATTCCATCTTCAGTGTGGACATAAGTTGTCTAAAACACTAGTGTGACGGGGCCTTAAAGCAGGCTAGAAGTCTGTGGTTGAAAGGCTGAGTCAGAACAGGGAAAGGCAGTAATCAGGCTTCAAGCACTGATTATTATTTGAGCAAAGAACAGGTGTAATGGGCATACTTTTTAGTCTAATGAAAAACTCTGACCAAAATGAATTTAATCAGTCTGCTCTAATTACATGACATTTTTTTATTTTTATTATTCGGATCTGAAGTGATCTTTTACTTCCAAGCAACAAACGTTCAGTTTAAGAACACTTGATCTCATGTGGCAGGCTTGGTTTAAAAGTTCACTTTTATTGCAAAATAATAAACTAGCAAATCAGAGCACGTAAAAATTTTGCCTACAAATGTAAATAATCCAACAAGTGCTTCCATGTCCATCGCTTTAGCCATTCACATCTTTAAACATAATCTCTCAAGCTAGTCACAGTATGCTGTAAAACACCTAGCACTCCAGTAATCTTACTATCACACATCATTTGCTGTTTTAACCTTTAAGTTTGAAAAGTTGTACTTTTTTGTTGTCATCTTGATCAGCATCTAAAATGAATGTCTCAAACAATACTGCATCATATCTTAAACTGAACAGAGCAGTAGCCTAAAATGCCCCGAAATAACCCGTTTCTACTCATCCCATTAAAGTACCAGCTGAAATGCCACCAGTTGAAGCGTGTGTGATTTTACAAGTTTTCTTTTTAAGCAGTGCTCACTGAGCAAATGTTTCCCTGATCAAACCTCGTCTCCTCTCAGTGGTCACACACAGAATATATCAGCCTAATTTAGGCTTTATTCACATCCTCCTATGCCAACAACTTTCCCTGCCAGCAGACAGAAAAAACGAGCGTAACTGAACCATACTAGCCTTACATAAACAAATATGTAAATCACAATACCAAAAGAAGTAATCTGCATATTATTTTAGTGAGAGAAGAAGCTTTAAAATGCAATCAATCCAGTTTGTCCACTCATTCCGAGTTATTAAAGGTATCAAAAAAGCAACCCTTACAAAAAAGAAAAGGTTGAACTCTAAATGATCCAGCTTCATTGGTTATAAATAGATAAGTGAAATGTGTCCATTTGTTGGTAATGCAGTGGTRGGTTTTCAGACTGAGTCCTTATTTTGGGTCTTCGATGGTTCCCTTGCTGAGATCGGTCATTTTGGGATACTTCACTTTCTTTTGGTCGAGTTCGTTTTGAGCCCACAGCAATAGCTTCAGGAGCTTGGCCAGCTTCGGTGTAGATTCTCTGTTTTCATAGTCAAGCACACACTGATTCACTTCACTCCATACCTAAAAAAAAAATAAAAAAAGTGTCTTATGTCTTATTGTTTTTACAAAAATCTGACGATTTCTTTTCTTAGACAATGAAACACCTTCCTTTAGAACTACGCTGAACAATAAACTGTTTTAAAGGCTAAGTAATATTCTTGCATAATAAATGGTAAAAAGTGATTTGAAAAAAAAGAGGGTTACAATTCCTTCCCGAATAGTTCAAATGTCCTTATGCAAGCACAGCACAAGAACAATACACTTAATATAATAAATTAAAACTCAACTGAACATTGAGATCATATTTGCAAGAAAGATAAGTTTAAAACAAAAACATTACTGGGGGCACACGTTGTGTCAGAAAGAATATGAGAGACAGGAAGATCAAGTTTGCTGATTTTTAAATACAATTAATATAAATAAATAAAGTAGAAATTGCATGTATTGAGACAATAATCTCAAGTGGCAGGATATGTCTGCCTTAAGATAATAAGATAATGTTTTTATACACGTGCCACATGATGCATCGGCTTTAACAGAGAAGTATCAGTAAAGATGGTTTTTATGTTGATTTTACATGACAATCCTGCTGTATCTAGTAAAGGCATGTCACTAATCTTATTTTTCATAACAAAACATGAAACTGATACTGTGGACAGAATCAAAATAAATGTATAAATGTGCTGAATGTGAGCCGGTTTTACCTTTTGTCTCTGCATCATATTGAGCAGGTCTCCAAAGGGGGACTCTTCAGGGTTGTCAAATGCCAGCAGGGCCAACGTCCTCTCCATCTCGGTCAGGCATTCTCGGCTCTCCTCCCCCTGCTCTGCTAACTGAGACTGTGCGAATTCAAGCGCAGCTTCCGTCTCTCTCAAACGAATCAGTTCAATAAGATGCTGCTGCTACAAAATACAAAATGACAAAACAAAACAAAAAAAATGTATGAAATTGGGGGCAGATGCGAGAAGCAAGACTTGCAGAGACAAACAAAAAAACCAGGGAATGGTGAGTTAAACCGTGCGSTTCGTTTAGCCGTACCTGCAGGTGAAAGTAAAGGTAACGGTTTGTATCCAGCAGTTCTGGGTGGAGACTGTTGATTAGAGCGATGGCGTCCTGGATTTGTCCCTTCAATATTAACTCTCTGATTTTAATTCTTTCATCTAAAGAGTCCAAATCAACACTAGGCTCTATTCCAGATTCCATCCTGAACTTTTCCGCTGCCTCCTTGAATCCCTCTGTTAAACAGAGAAGGCTGTAAGTTCATCCTCATACCACAAAAATTTGCACAAACCTAGGCTTATCAGCTCTGAACACGACAACAAACGTAGAGAAATTGTTAGTTTACCTGTAACCAGATAATTCATAATGAGCCTGTTCATATCAGCTCTCTGAATGTGGACATTGTTGAGTTTATCCATCCACTCTTCCCTTGTTATGTCCTCTGGCTTCTCTGCAAAACTCATTATGATTATGCTTCCTGTAAGAAAGGACGGGTTAGGAAGTTACAGGAATGACACGGACACACTTTACAATACTGAATATATAGTGCAACAAGAATAAAACACTTATTGTACTGTTTTTCTTTAGTCTAACAAATATACGGCACCGGAAGCTCTACGTAAAATATTTTGGGCCTTCCATCAAAACGACAACACTRAAGCCTGACTGCCTTCAAACACGAATCAAAACACAGAAAATTTCCGCTTAAATACACATTTATCTTTGGGTAAATATGACCGGACAAAGCCGCAGCACGTTTAGTTTTCCCTTGCTCATACTATTCTCCAACCTCATGTCAAAATGACTGCTACATTAATCACAACACCCGAAATATTTCTCGCTTCTTACCAGTAGTAGCTAACTCGCTAAAGGCCGCCTCTTCTTCTTTTCACTTGTACAGAAGCAACAGCGCCTCCTCGAGTCACGCAAGCTTCAAACTCACTGCCGCCCCCTACAGTAAGCTTTAATATGACACCGTAGACTCCGGCCAAAACTGCAGAGAAAATACTCCCACCCCCAAACATCAAGCAGCTCATCGGAACTCACATCCTCAGCCGGGGTCTGAGCGCCAAACTCTGTAATTCATGTMAATAAATTTACTTCCTAATTGCAGTCTGTCTTTRTGTGAGTCTCTCCAGGTTGAATTCTCAGTGGAGTTCTGGCTGAGCAGCACGACMAAGTACTGTTTGACTCATTGCCTATCATTTGGATAAAACCGAGTAAGTGTTTTGTTATTTGACCAGTATCAGAATTTCAAATTTGTGACAAATTCAGTTTTCATCTGGCACTTTGTTAGGTGTTTCTTACAGTTATGTTGCTTTATTTCCGATCCAATTATTTGTCTCACTGTTTTTTATTTAACAGCTGGATGGAAGTGCACTGATGAACCCCAGAACATGTACGCTTGACCTCTTTATAAGACCAGTGAGAGGAAGGGCACTCTTTCTACTACTGGCCACTCAACCAATTTTGTCATTTCCATGCTGCTGCCCACCAGCGAGCGCCCACAGCACTGGGTGAAGCGTGGCGTGGCCATGCTCTGCCTGCTGGATGAYTGAGATCGGACAACACTCAAGCACTTCATACTACCCCGTGTTTTACTGTTATTATTCCTTTCATTTTAGTGTGAAGCAATCAAAAGATAAATGTGATGTTTTGACAAAAGGAGCATTTATGCTACAAATTRTTTTTCTTCCTCTATTAGTTACTTTCCACAAATTGATGCTGTTTTGTTCTCAAATGTAAAAAAAAAAAAAACTTTTCACAGTCAACTCAGATCAAAAATATTTTCAATGCACTGTGAAATTTCAAATAAATCAAGTTAATTGTTCAGTGYAGTTGAACAATGTTTTTCTTAAACTATATTTGAATGAGAAACAAGAAAAATCAACAAAAATGTTTCAGTTCTACCAAAACCTTTCTGTGGCACACTTTTCAGTTTGTTGGCACATCTTTTTCTTGCCTCCATTTGTCTTGTGAGCTGAATACGACACTAAATTTACAGCACACAAGTTAATAAAATGCAGGAGCATTACAGGATGCAACATGTTTAAAAATGTAAAACTGCAACAACTCAAATCTATTACTATTACTAGTATTTATTTTTATTTTAAAATCTAATTCTAAAATGTGCACAATATATTTTTCCACAAATACTGTGTRGTTATGCGTGTGTTTTAGTGCTGCAGTGTTTAGTAGGTCAAGAGTTAGGTGCAAGTTGTGATCTGATATTTATGGTTGGGGGACTATAAATAACTGGGTCATGTGTTGATGTCCTGAGAAGCCCACCAGCTACATTGATGTGAACACTACTGAGGGAGGGAGCACAGCCAGTTCGATAAAGGTAAAAACTACAAATTTATATTTGTTTCATTTTAAAGCTTGAGTTACTGTTTTAAATCTCAATACTTTATTGTTGAACTTTGAAAGTCTTGTTGTCGTTCTGACATATCCTCTGCCACTTGCAGAATAAAGTGGTACAAATTCTCACCTTAGTGTATGGCATTAATCTTTGTTTTGTTTTAATAGTGGTCAAACTTAATGTGATTTATCCACATTTAGAGGTGGACATATCTCAGCACAATAGAATTGACTATAAATATCTTAAATATCATCGTGTTTTTTGCTAAAAGATTGACACCTGTTAGTTCTGGCTGAATAATCTTAATTCAGGACTGCATGTGATGTGAATATTTTCTTTTCCTAAAAAAAATAAAATTAACTTTTAAATATGTTTCCTTGGAGCAGCCCCTTGTGCACTGACTGTTTTGGACTAACAGATGAGCACGGAAACAGAAGTTGACTTTTATCAGTCGGAGGATGAACTGGATGAAGATGAAGCCACACAATACATAATTGAACAAAGTCTGATTCAGTATAGAAAACTCAAAGGGCTCAATCCAAGGTGGAAACTTGTCAAGCATGTATTAAGACATACGTTTCACTACAACACATGTATCTCTTTCAATGTTAATCCTTATTTGCACATATTTTTAGTGATCTGGAACCCAGCAAAGACCCTGATGAGATTTTYAAAGCCATCAGAGAGGGTAAGCTGTCCTTTTTAAACCTCTCAACTCATTCTGACAATCAAGCAGACTGTCGCAATTTCTGTTGTGACGTCCTGTGTCACAATTTAGGTGACGAGGTTGCACTCAGCTGGTTGACCGTGCAACTTGAGACTCTGTCCAGAGTTGATGAGCGAGGATGGATCCCCTTGCATGAGGCTGCGGTAAAAGATAACAAAAGTATCCTGGAGATGATCTTTTCAGGTGGGAATGCCCTCTGTTTTTGATTGTAGGAGCTCCTTTTTTTTGCAAGTCTCGCATGTTGATTGGCTCTTGTGTGTTTTGTGTTGCAGCATCGCCCCCAGGGGCAGCTCATTGTCGCACGCTGAAGGGTGAGACACCCCTCTTTCTAGCTGTAGTTTATGGATTTCGAGAGAATGCCACATTCATGTTACAGAACGGCTGCAACCCAGATATCCAAAATGATGAGCAGGATTCGCCATTAGTTGCAGGTATTATCCTTAAGTTTAGCCCAAACCCAAAAACTTTTTTGTGTTATTATTTCACAAGCACCTTAACATAAGATATTTTATTTCTGTATTTCTCTCTTTCGCTCTCTTGCTCTTTACCTCACAGCTATTCTGAACGACCAGTATGACCTGGCAACACTTTTGTTACGCTACAATGCTACAGTTGATCAAACAGGACCACTGAACAGGACAGCTCTGCATGAGTCCGCCTTCTTAGGTTTGGAAAACTTTGTGCGTTTAGTGTTGGAGTCGGGCGCCAACCCAAACGCACTTGACATCAAAAAGAAAACTCCACTGGCTTTGGCTGCACAGAACGGACATCTGAATGTGGTGGAGGTTCTGTTACAAAAAGGTAAATAAAGTCACGTTTTCATTGTATACATTACTGATTTGRTTAAGTCATTCAGATATTCACACAGACAAGATGTATTAATGTTCAGGTCCAGGATTTTTTATTTTACCTTGGTAATATCAGATATAACGCTAGGTCACATTCCAAGCCTCGACCAAAGAAAAACCGTATGCGGTACAGAAAGGAAAGTGTCGGGTACATGTAAATCCTAACAGAGCCTATGTATTATTTTCTAGGAGCCCATGTGTGGTTGGAATCAGAGTCCAATACTGTTTTGTTTGATGCAGCAGCATCAGGAAACCCTGACATCATCTCCTTGCTGCTGGACCACGGAGCAGATCCCAACCTCCCTCTTTACAGTGGTCACCTTCCAATTCACCGCGTGGCGTACCACGGACACAGACTGTGAGGAGCATCAAAGTTAACTTTCTTGCTTTTTAACCACAACCAAGTACTGCTGTAACATTAGGTCTGGTCTCTGACAGAGCACTGGAAGTCCTCATCCCAGTGACCGAGATGCAGGCCGTGAAGGAAAGTGGGATGAGTCCTCTCCATTCTGCAGCTGCTGGGGGACATGCTCAGTGCGTAGAGATTCTGCTCAAAGCTGGCTATGACCCAAACTTCATGCTGCACCCAAGGGTGCGCCGCGGTTACGACGAAGATCGCAGGTCTGCCCTCTTTTTTGCTGTGTCCAACAACGATCTTCACTGCACCCGCTTGCTGTTGGACGCGGGAGCAATGGTGAACCAGGACCCTATCAACTGTCTACAGGTGGCGCTCCGACAGGGCAACTATGAACTCATGAACATCTTGCTGAGATATGGAGCAAATGTCAACTACTACTCCCGGGTCAACTCCACCCACTTCCCCTCAGCTCTGCAGTATGCATTGAAAGACGAGGTCATGCTGAGAATGCTTCTGAACTACGGTTATGATGCCAAACGTTGCTTCGACTGTCCATTTGGAGACAGTTCCCATGACTGCGCTCCTTGGACATCCTCTGTCATCAAAGACATGGTGGTGAGACAACATTTACACAAATAAAATAGTTTGAAAAAAGGAAGCCTAAAACTTTTAAAAAGTTTTCTCTTTGACCCTCTAATGATCCCCCCCTTTTTTTTTTAGTTCTGTGAGGTGATAACAGTGTCTTGGCTGAAGCACTTATCTGCTCAGGTGGTGCTCATCATGCTCGACTACACGGACCATGTCTCCTTCTGTCCTAAACTTAAACAAACCTTGCAGGAGCAGAAACAATGGCCAGAAATCTGTCATATTCAAAGTAAGAACTTTGTAAATCCATCTTAAATGATGGATGGATTAAGGTCTCCTTTTCCCGCCTAAATGCGTCAGTAAAAGTGTATCTTTAAATGCACTCACTGCTTTTGTTGACATGTTTTTCCTTGTCAGGAAATGCACGAAGTCTGAAGCATCTGTGTCGGTTGCGGATAAGGGAACATCTCAGTCTTTTGCGGTTGAGAGCTCCAGTTTTCATCAACTTCCTTCCGCTTCCTCCCAGGTTGAAAGACTACCTACGCTTCAAGGAGTTTGATGTTTACAGCAGGGGGAGCATGGTCAACCTCTAATGGCAACACCTTTAAAGATGTTACTGATATCTGGGTTATGTAAGGACAGATAAGGTCCTCGTAATATTGTGTTATCCTTGTTGTTTTTTGTTTTTAAATGAYGTTTTCTGAAGTAGCTTGACTGGTGTTACTTTGTGATTTTGGGATAAAAGTTAAGGTGTATTTAAAGAGCTACAGTATAATGTCTTGTCCCAGATAGCAAAATATGAGTGAATGAAATATGGTTAGGCATGTTATTGAATTCATGTTGAAAGTATACAAAAAGTGGTCGGTGACTTGTTGAAACAATGTTAGATTCTCAACCATAACTGATACTATATCAGCATTGATTCAACATTGATAAGACAGACATTTCAATCATTAGAATTCCACCATGAAACAACATTGACATTTTTTCAACATTGGTTATTTGGCTAGAATTGGATGATTATTTGATGGTTGATTCACCATCAATCGCCAATAT